GATCTCAGCTGTAGCCTCAGAGGGGGGTATGAGCTTCACGTCTGCCATTCTTCATGTTGCTGTCAGGATAATGCAGTAAGAAAGTTACTGAAAGAGGGGAGATTTAGATGAGATCTCAGGAAGAATTCTTTGCTGTGAGGGTGGTGAGACACTGGAACAGGTTGCCCAGAGAAGCTGTGGCTGCCCCATCCCTGGAGGGGTTCAAGGCCAGGCTGGATGGGGCTTGGAGCAACCTGGTCTGGTGGGAGGTGTCCCTGCCCAGGGCAGGGGGTTGGAACTCCATGATCTTTAAGGTCCCTTCCAACCCAAACCATTCTGTGATTCTGTGAAGTTACTGAGCTTTTACAGATTGCCAGTGAATTTATAAGGCTGATTTTAAAAAGGGTGAAGTTGTGGACTCAGTGTGATCACTTTTTAAATAAGAACCCAACTGCTTAGCAAATAGGACGTATTGAATGAGAATATTTGGGGAATTTTTATTCTGGATAACAAATTTCATCTTTTCCTTAATATTTGCAAGAAATGGTTTTAGCCAGAGGCTTTTCTGTGACATTTAGTTTTTAAAAAGAGGACACGAGTGACAGCTTTTATCTTTACAGGAAGTATTATGCTGTTTTATAGACGGGGAATGGAGGCCTGGAAAGATTAAGTGATTTGCTAAAGATTACAGAGTAAATTCCTGAACGAGGTGATCAGTCTCTGCTTGCCTCGATTCCTGCTTATCCCTGGGGATGCTCAGTTTGTGCATTAACCACAGGACTGTACTTCACATTCATAACAGAACATGATGCACATCTGCCTCTAAAAATGCAGCATTTTGCGCTTTTTAAAAACGGGTAAGATTGGGTAGCAATTCAGAAATGATAATGTCATGAAGCAGTCACGTGGGTTGTGGCTCAGTAAGGTCATTACAAGGTTGCCATGGCTTCTTAGGGAATTAAAAGTATTTACTAAATAGCAGGGGAGATTCCCCAGAGGCCTGGTGACCCTCTAATTCCCATCGCTCTCTGCAAGTGCCAGGTGCAGAGTGTGACATTTAGTTTTTAAAAAGAGGACACGAGTGACAGCTTTTATCTTTACAGGAAGTATTATGCTGTTTTATAGACGGGGAATGGAGGCCTGGAAAGATTAAGTGATTTGCTAAAGATTACAGAGTAAATTCCTGAACGAGGTGATCAGTCTCTGCTTCCCTCAATTCCTGCTTATCCCTGGAGATGCTCAGTTTGTGTATTAACCACAGGACCGTACTTCACCTTCAGAACAGCACGTGATGCACATCTATCTCTAAAAATGCAGCATTTTGCGCTTTTTTAAAAATGGGTAAGATTGGGTAGCAATTTAGAAATGATAATTTTACGAAGCAGTCACATGGGTTGTGGCTCAGTAAGGTCATTACAAGGTTGCCATGGCTTCTTAAGGAATTAAAAGTATTTACTAAATAGCAGGGGAGATTCCCTAGAGGCCTGGTGACCCTCTAATTCCCATCGCTCTCTGCAAGTGCCAGGTGCAGAGTCTGAACATTACCCTGACCCGTTCCATATTTGGATCCTCGAGCAGCACTTTTGCTCTTCTTTGTTTCATTTGCAATAGTTTTGAAAATGTTACAAGTAGGGGGAGATAGAGACTGTTGGGTTCTAGTTTGAACAAGCAGTTCAAGGAAAACAAACCATATTCTGTTGGTCACAGAATCGTAGAATCCCCAGCCTGGAGTATGTGTCCAGCTTTGGACTCCACAGCATCAAAAGGTCATGGACCTGTTGGAGTGGGTCCAAAGGAGGCCGCAAAGATGATCAGAGGGATGGAGCACCTCTGCTGTGAGGACAGGCTGAGAGAGCTGGGGTTGTTCAGCCTGGAGAAGAGAAGGCTCCAGGGAGACCTTAGAGCCCCTTCCAGTCCCTCAAGGGGCTCCAGGAGAGATGGGGAGGGACTCTTGATCAGGGAGTGGAGCCATAGGACGAGGGGGAATGGTTTTAAACTGAAAGAGGGGAGATTGAGATGAGATCTCAGGAAGAAATTCTTTCCTGTG